TGGGAGTTAGAAAAAAATAATACCCATTGCTGTTTTAAAATGAAATTTTAAACAAGTGCATGAGAATGTTGAAGTCCATTGGAAGGGATTTTGCTTTTAGAATATTTAGTAAAAGAATATAATGCTGGTTTGACATACACAATACAATGAATATGTTGGTCACTGCTTTCTAGCTATCATATTATAGCCAAGATCCAAAGAATAATTGTGCATGAATGGAAGAAAATGATATGCTGACCCAAAGCTTTATTTTCATTTTTCTCTAACATTAGAGAGGCTTTGCAGTTTTACATGTGGAATACCTGTGGAATACCTGTTCAGCAGTGAGAAGTGCTGCAAACAAAAGTGAAAATAAAATTCATCTTTATGCACCTTGCATACCTATCTCTTTGGACCGTAATCTGCATGCTAAACTAAGCAGAGTTATTTTGCCTCTTTGTGGTGTTTTGTACAAATAAATAGAAGTAGCTATTGTTGAATGATATATGGATTGGTAATGCTAGGTACAAAATGGCTCACAAAAGAGTTTGTACAAAATTATACTGAAGGCCAGGATCCAAGGAAGTGCACTGCTATTTACATGCACCTGTGCAAGGGTATCTTGTGTTTCTTAAGCACCAGCCCTTCAGGTCACATGGCAGACTACTTCTCTAATTGGGGTGCAGGTTCAAACCAATTTGTGATGTCGATGGGCTCACATTAAACCCTTGGGCATGACTTAATTACTCTTCTGATCCTAGCTATGTTGTGCTTGCTATATATAGCTGCATTTATGAGTCAGGAGCTGTCTGAATTTCTTGCAGTCTTTTCCTTTTGTTTCTTTGAACATTTATTGTATTTTTCCTTTAATTGCTGATGATGTTGAAGGAGCTACATTTTGTTTATTAGAGACATTTATCTTTCTCTCTCATACCTCTAACAAAGGAGATACTCAAGGCAGCTTATCAGCCAATGTCCCATGATAAAACATCTATAAAAATTGTACTGGTTCCCTGTCTATTTTCAGGTCCAATTAAAAATACTGGTTTTAACTTTTGAAGCTATTACTATCTTGTATCTAGGTTACCTGAAATCATATTTCTGACTATTGTCACCTAGACTTTCAAATCCTCTTCAGAAGCCATTCCCACTGTTCCCCTACCAGGTGAAGTGGGGTGGAATAATACTAGAAAGAGGGCCTTCTTGACTGTGACACCCCCAGTTGTTAAATAGCCTCCCTGGAGACCCTCATTTGCTGTTTTGCTGACCCCCAGGTCAAGATATTCTTATTCACCCATATCTTTTAAAGAACTTGTGTTTAAAACAAAATCTGGTCTCTCTGAGGGCAGTGTTAAATGAGTAGCATCTAGGTGCTCCTGTATTTGTTTCTTTTTTCTTTTTTAATTTCAGTGTAAGAATGTGAGGCCTTGGTCCAGATTTGAACTGCCACAGACAAGTAGGGTGTTACATTGGTCAGACAACTGCTTTCCCTACTAATTTTCCTCACATGTATGTGGGCACCAGTGAAAGTGGTACCGATGAATTGTTTTATTTAGCTTGCCACTGGGGGAGGGCAGTATTTGGGAGGGACAGTAGCTATGTGGGATGGTATAAGCTTCCCCCGCACACACCTGTCCTGATCTGAAGTGGGCCCCTCTACACTAGCATTAACAAAAGTTAGGTTTGCTTAGATGCTGTACCTAGTGCCTACTTTAGCCCTGGGTAAGTTGTGCTTGGTAATTTGAACTTAGTTTTCAGCTACAATCCTCTATTAATTTTCCTGGAAACAAGTTACATTAATCTCAGTGGGGCTTACATTTAAGTAGACCAGCATAGGCTTTCACTGCCAGTGATTTAATTTTTACTCACCATAAAGGTAAGCTTTATGCTGCATTTTATTTTTTAAGAGTGTGGTTTAAATTATTTTGTATTTTAATATTGTATTTTATGGCTTTTAAGCCACTCAGGGAACATGTCAGTGAGCTGTTATATAAATCTAGTGGTGGTAGTAGTGATAATATTGATGATAAAATGATAATATTAATAACAGTTAAAGAAAAAAGACATAGGAAAAATCAATTGCTGTATAGTGTAGCTTTTACAACAGCTGTTTAAAAACAAATTACCAGTGTGGCACAAAGAACTGCTATTTGAGAAACACAAGACATGAGTCTCTTTAGATGTACAGAACAGATTGCATGGTTGTTTGGATTCTTATTAAATAGAAGTTACCAAGTTCCCTATGCAGTGGTAATGCTTACTGTTATATATGTTCAGCTCCTTTACAAGACAAATATATCAGCAGCAAATTATCTGGCATAGGTAGAGCCTATGGTGTTCTGCTTCAGTGTTCCATTGTATTCAATTTCTGATAATTACCTATGTCAAATACATCAGCCTTTATTTTTTTCCTATTTTCAGGAAATGTAAATGTTACTCTTCAAGTATGGGATATAGGCGGCCAAACAATAGGAGGCAAGATGCTGGATAAATATGTCTATGGTGCGCAGGTATGGTTATTATTATTTTTAGTATATAATTGCTATTGTTGGATTTACTTTACAGTAAAAACAATAGTTTACAGCATAATTTTAAGAGACTAGTAAAATGTAAACATCTGCAAAATTGTTTTGAAGATTGACTTTGTGAGCTGAATTTTTGGGTGCAGGATTTCTTGAACAATATTTCCTTTTATGAACAAAAGGTGCTAGTTTGTATATCCTTAGCAGCTCTCCAAAACAGATGTTCATTGCTCTGCATTGTGGCTTAAGTTCAAAATAGCAGTTTTCATCAGGGTTATTTAGATATCCATGGGGATATCTAAATAGGCATAGTGGCTGTTTTGAGTGCAGATGCTTCCTGGGGAGCAAGGTAGAAGGAGGAAATTAAGAGCAATCCTATGCCATTAAATTCATTCAGCCAGCTGAGGTTTTAGGAGGGCAAAGAAAAGGCAACCAGGTAGTTAAATATTTTTGCAGAAAAGTAAAAATGAGCTGTATGAGTAGGCAAAATTTTAAGTTACTATTAATGGTACATAGATTATTTCTTTTCTTTCATTTTAAAATAAGAAGTGCATTATACTGTATATCTTTTGCAATCCCCACACTTGATTTTAGAAAGACAGTTTTTGAGAGCTTTCATTATAAATAAATGCAATAAACTATTGTATATTTTGAAGCTTTTTTGTTGGTTTGTTTGCTATATTCTCCCATGGTAAAGAAGGAAATAGGTGGTTTAGGCCCAGATAAATCTTTGGGTGTGTTACTGTGGAAATATAGAGGAGAACTATTAGCTGAAATTATGCTAGAAATTGCCCTTTAGTAGAAGAAAAATGGGCCAAATAGTTAAATGTTAAAGCTCGTCATTTTCTAAAATGTAATTAAATGTCTGTTAAGTTTGGCTCAGCCTTGCATCTGTGCTGCCAAATTATGTTTGCCTATATAACAAGTCAGAACACTGTAAAATGGCATTAAATTAATGTTCACAATAATAGGGAATTTTCACTGAATGGAAGAAAATGAGATCCACAAAGTTAAAAAAATGGAGATTAGAAGGATTCTTGCAGCCATTCCTAAAAACATTGTCTTGCAAGTAACTTTAATTTGTTATAATAGAATTTACTTCCAATTAAATGTATAATGATATAAAGCTTTTTGAGTATTCATATCACATAATATCAATTATTGTTGTAATCCTTAGAACAGGCTGGTAAGCAGGTCAGTATATTATCAATCAGTTACATTTGAGGGGCTGAAGCTACATAATTGGTGAATGATGAGTAAGGTCTGAACTGTGAATTTCCCAATTCAGTTGTAGGACAATGTAGCAGTAACTCAATTGCCCTAATTTTGGTGGGAAGTAGTATATGAAGATTTCTCTTTCTTCAGTTCCCTTCAATATAATTTCACATTGTTTCATGCTTGTTGTCCTACAACAGATGTTGAACTAGAAATTCCAAGGTAAGGTTTTATTTCCTTAATTTGAAATTGCCAAACACAGGGTTAGAAATTCTTATCATATCCATTTGACAGTTTCCATACATCTGTTTTATTATCTGTATCAGGTTCAGTCTGTTGCAGGATCACTAAATCATTCATATTTTCTTCATTGGCAATACCACTGTATCAGAAGCTTGATGCTAATAACTCTCAGTCAAGACTCACTGGAGGATTATAGTAGTGTACTGGAAGCATGGTACTGATGCTTAGGATGAAAGAAAAGCCATGCTGGATCAGACCAAAGGTCCACCTTGTCCAGCACTTCATGCACATGGTGGCAAACCAGCTGTCCACAGGATCCCTCAGGCAGGATGGCTGCAAGATCTCCTCATGCTCAAATTCCTCAGAACTGGTGTACACATGCATGCCACCTCTGGTAAAGGAGTTAACTCACAGCCAGCAAGGCTAGTAGCCATTATGATTATATTCATTGAGATACTCATGTAAAACCAAAGGGTTTAAATGAAAGGTTGTTCTCAAATACACAAAATCCTACACAGCTTCTTTATTTCACCATTTTATTAAGGAACCTCATTGTAGAACACCTCAATTGTAGACATCTCAGTTTTTTCTCTGAGTCTGTATACTATTTTGCTGTAATGCAGTATCAACTAATATTAGGAGTGCAAAATGTCCCTTGCTGTAAAGATTATCTTTTACCTTTCATGTACTTTTTTCTGTTTTGGAACATATAACTTTGTGTGTGTGTGTGGCGGGAGGTATGTTTGGACCTGAAACTACTTTCTGTGGTCACATTCCTATGTATGGAGCATACTTGCTGAGTTTCACATGTGCCACGGGCTTGTATAACTGTTCATTTTGTGCGAAAGTAATTATTTTTATAGAAGCAATCATTTCATTTTTAAAATTAGATATATTCTACATTCACACAAGTTTGTTACCATAATTGTACTTTGCATATATACTTTCTTTTCAGGCTGTCCTTCTGGTGTATGATATTACCAACCAGCAGAGTTTTGAAAACTTAGAAGATTGGTATAACGTTGTAAAGAAAGTCAATGAAGAGTCAGAAACTCAGCCACATGTGGCCTTGGTAGGCAATAAAAGTGAGTAGTTACACTGTTATTTAGTTGGAATGTTTTGTGTATCTAGCTAAAATGCAGATTAGCAGTGTATTCCATATTTAAATCTCTACAGTAGAACTGTGTGAGCCCCAATCTTGTAGACGCTGGTACATGTGTGGTCCCATTCATTTTACTGCCACCGTTGTGCATTGATTTTGGCAGGCTCTGGCCTGTAGAATGTAATATTTCATGCATTAGACCAAATGGAGGGTGCTATATTGTGACAGTAATCACAATGTTAAATCTGCTAGGAGATATCACTTAATGGAAATAACCTGCTTCAGTGATTCAAATTATGTGGCATGACATTACATATAAAACTTGGGAAGATTTACCAGTTTGTTTCCTTGATTTTTCTTATTCAAAATGGCTACATTCATGTCCCCTTCCTTTAAATCATGCTTAATCAACAAAGCATGGTTTGATCTTTTCCTTCATGTCACATAATTTGAATAATTAATAATTTCTTGAAAAAATGCCTATTGCTTGATAGAGCATCAGAGTGCATAGTATATACTACCATAAACAACATAAGTAAAAAAGATAAGTCCCTATGTTTAGGAGCTAGCAATCTAAAGTGTTGTGGAGACAAGTGGAATGAAGAGTTAAGGGCAATAGGTTTGATTTGGACAAACATAATTATATATTTTCTTGATCTCAATACAGCCAGAAGTTCAATTTCCCTTTAAAGATTTTAACAAATGCTAGGGTTGGGCATTCAGTTTTTCAGAAAGATTGGTTAGTTGATTGGTCAATTTTTTTTTTGAAATTTTAAGTTTATTAGGACAACAAAAATATTATTAACATGTGTGATACTTATAATTACAAAAACAAATTAATTGCATTGTTTTACACTGTTAACTAAACGTGTCTGTACTGCCCTTCATCAAATTAGTTTCCAGGGTGGCATTCAAAATGCAGTTAGAAATGTTCTGCAAGAAAATTAAAATAATATAGTAGAATCAACAAAAGGCAAATAAATAAGGAACATAATAACAACTATAGCTTTAAAAAACTGCTATGAATTATAATTTTAGTAATGCTAGATAAGGTTTCAATAAATATGAATTATATACAGAACAGTTTTTCTTTAATTTTTATCCCAAAACCTCAGGTTCAGTCTACAGTTGTGCTCACGTGGTGGTCAGTCTGTGAAATTAAAAGAGAATATGGTGGGATCTTGTGTCATATATTAGTTGTGAACTTGCTGCTGTTAAATAATAGATGATCTATTGATTAATTGATTGGTAATTGATGGGTAAGCCAAGTCCAACAAATTCCTCAAGTGACATCTCTAGATACACAGGCTAGAAAATAAGCACTGTCAACTTTTATCATTACAGTCTGTTTAGAAAGCAATATTTGCTTTGGTTTCCCTTCCTCCAAACATTCCACACATGGTCTGAGTGAGGCTAAATAAAAGGCAAAATGCCCAGCCAACTCACTTCCTTCTAACTACAGCATACTACAAATGTGTGAAGACATCTTCTGAATTTTCTGGCTTGGCTACTTGAAATGTATGCATATTATTAATACGTTTATATTTTTAGTACTAAGCCTCTTAATAATCTTGATTTCAAATGTTGGGCTTCATGCATTTTGTTTCATATCTTTAGCAAAAGATTTGAAAAAGCTTCATGCAAATTTGACAGTGATCTGAATGCCCCTATGTACAAAATTTGATAATTTTACACACCACTCAATGGGGACATGTTCTCTAAGCAGTTAGATGATTTGTAGAGTGGTGATTGTGTATGTTGGTTAATTCGTATAAAATTTTGTAAGTAGGAAACAGGCAACTGGGTGCTCCTCTGCGTGTGAATTAAAGCAGCACTGCAGTCTGCAGTGCTGTGGCTGCATGTGAATCTCATGACTCTTCTGTATGTAGTCAGTTGAGAGCTCTGGCAAAGATGACTGGAGAGCTAATTTTGTGGAAAGGAGGAAGGAAAGAGGAAAAAGGGAGTGGTGGAAATCAAAAGGGGATGAGCCACCCATTTCTGACACAGGCTTTGACTTCACTCTTCACCAGCATTGTGTGCCTTGGCAGATTACCTGTGAGGCAATGCATCCTTTGACAGCAAAAAAGATTGCTCACCCCAGAAATAGTCTAATGCTTTTCTTTGGGGGAGTCATCTAGCCTAGAGTCAGTCAATTTTAGAATGCATATAAATTCCAATTGTGACTGTTGTGCGTACTTATAGTGTATATCTTGTGCTGATTCTTAAAGGCTTATGATGACTGGAAAGCAAGGATACTCCTTGTGGTGTAGGACTTAAGTTTTATATGTATTATTGTTAGTTGTGGTTCTTATATTAAATGGAGACAAATTGAATTATAAGACCTGGAATTTACACCAAGGTTTTCTAGAACCATTCGGCTTTATCATAGGTGCCCTGGTACCTCATGGTGGTATCACTCTTGAGATAAGTTCCTAAGATGGCTTACAATACAAAATAAAAATATAATGAAAATACTTTTTAAAATGACAGATTATTTTCATATATTCGTTAGAATGATTTTCAAATCTCCCCTTATATACTTCCACAAGGCATGCTAATGACATGCATAATTTGCAAAAAGGGAATCTTCCTTAAAAGTTGCTTACTGGCAAATAGAAATGTGATTTGACTGCATAGCTTAATATCTGTTATGGTCTGAAGCTTTTCATTATCTGCTTCTCAGAGGCCAGCTGCTGATCTGAAGTGGTGAGCCATTAGTGCAGGAAAATGGGTGTTTAGAAATTCTACAGAAAGTTTGTCTAATGAACCAATCCTATAAATATTTTAATTGCGCCGTGTTCAATCACTATGTTGCTGTGGCACTTACAAGGTGATGCTGTAGCCTGCTCATCAAGTAAAGAACTTTCTTTCCTCTTGCCCTCCTTTCCATTCAGGCTTTCTTCTTTCTCTTTTAGCAAGATAAAGATAATATTATATTCATTTCAAATGTAAAATCTTGTTATTTTGTATATCATTGGCTTCAATGACATAGCAAAATATTTTCATTAAGATCTTGCTGTAGCTTTTCCTTGTTTTTTTGTTTTTTGTTTTTGACAAGCTCAACCAGTGTTTTCTGCCTTTATCACACTTACTTGACAGGTAAGTGTCAAGTCAACATTCCTGTTGGATAAATTGTGACTTAAATTAACTCAGGCTGCCTTGGAGCTGCTGTTACTTGATTTACAGCTGGATGGTTAGCCCGAGGGCAGTTGTTATCAGCAATTTACATAAGGGATAGGGATATCAGGCAGCAGTGTAGGGTGGATGGATGAATTATACCTTTCTTCACAGATATTAACCAGATCCTTTCTTAAGCGAAGTCCAATAAGTCAGGTTTTTAAACAGCCATTGTGACGGATAGGTAGGAAAAGAGAGTGCATCAGTGCTAATTAAAAATGTTGATGGTATATTCGCCTGAGTGATGATTAATTGATGCTGAAGTGCTGTCTTGGAGCAGGAAATGTTGTGCTGTTGTAGTGTGAAGTTTAAAGGTTACATTTTAATGTAACTTGTAAGGTTAATGCATTGAGCTGTCTGATCTATGGGAAGATTGCACTCAAAAGTGTTTTTTTCTAGGTACTCAGATTTCTACTCTTTTTCTTGAGACTCTTGGATCTGAACAATTTTGGGATGGCATCTCCTTTGGAACTGATAGCCTGGGTCCAACTTCTTTGCTTCTCCAAGGGAAGTGACATCCTGCCCTCCCCAGTGGTGTTACCTAGCAAGAGAGTGCTTAGGTCTTGGAGTGTCTGCGGAATCTGATCTGTGTGTGTGAAAATCCAATGGATTTTCTTAGTTTGGGCCCATGGATTCTGTTGTGAAAGCCCTGCAGTGATTCTGACTTCATCTTAAACAAATTATAATTCTAATTTTAATAATCATTATTGTACTATTATACCAACCCATAGCCCGTTGGGGTATGCCCAAATTTTGCAAAATTTCAAGTGCAAGGAAAGTCAAAGTAGCCAAGGTGGAGTATATGCATATGCTGTGAGACAAGGATGCTTCTATACTTCTCATGTTAAATGTGAAACAGGAACAGCAAAAAGAACATCAGTGGCTTGAAAATGAGTGTTTTGTGCCAAATATATGTAGTTTGTGAAAATTGTAGTAGAGATAGTAACTTCTTGGGTTGAAATTAGTGGAACTATTTCAGACGATTTCATGGAAGCCCCCCATTTGCCCCATCTCAGCCTGCTTTTGGCCACTGTGTTGGAAATGTGTTAAAATATCACCAGGCTCAAATGCCCAGCTAGAGCTTTTGAAAGACTCCATAAGCAGTCGTTTCCTTCTGTTTCAGTACTCCAACCTCCTGATTCTTTTCTAGTGAATTCAGAAAAATGCATCCAACAGAGGGTTCAACAGGAGTCAGTGGGTTCCCCCCCTCTTTTATTAGAGCAACCCTCCATTCTTCCCTGATATCCTAAGACTGGATATCAGTGAAGAACTGACACATAAGAACATATGAAGAACAGACCAAATGTCCATTTTTCCAGTATTCTTTTCACATAGTAGCCAACCATCTGCCTATGGCAATCCCACAAGTAGGCCATGAATCCAATATTATCCTGTCCTCATGTTTCCCAGTAACTGGTGTATATTGGAATAATGCCTCTGATATGCTATGTAGTTACCAGGACTATTAGTGTCTGATAGTGTAATCCCCTTGCAAAGCCACCCATCTTGATGACTATCACTATATCTTTTGGGAGTGGCCAAAAGAGTGCCACATCTTTCAAAGGTTAGCTATGTGGCCTGTGAAGAAGTACTTTGTTTTATCTGTCCTCAATTTCTTACTATTCAGATTCAGGGGATGACACCATTTTGTATTATGAGGGAAAAAGAAAAATACCTCCCTATTAACTTTTTTCACACCATGAGTGTTCACTTCTGTCATGTCTCTCCTCACACATTTTTTCTTTTAAGCAAAACAGTCCCACATGTGGTAACCTTTGCTCATAAGGGAGTTGCTACAGCCTGTGG